AAAGACACTGCAGAGATATAGAATATATTATATATCACATGTTCGCAGGTTCAAATCCTGCTCCGAGTATTTTTTTTTCCAGTTATATCTTTATACAAAACCTCGGTGGAATTCTAGAGTACCTCGTCTCAAAACATGTGCCGTACAATGTAATCGACTACGGAGAATCCAGATATGCAGTCCGTTTTCACCGAACTTGTTTCTAAATTTTCTCTTTCAGTTGATATGCTAATTTCATAGCTAGTGGCGCAGGGGCATCAGACACTGTCCACAATATATCGGGCGATAATCGATCAATATATCGACTAATAGCTGTCCAGATCAGTGTTTTTCGTCAATCCGATATATCTGGTACGATATCTAGTCGCCAGCTATCATACCTGATATAGCTAGCTACCTCAATAAAGGCGATACGGATAGCTAGCAACTACAAGCCGATATTACCCGATAACATATTTTTATAGCTGTTTTTATTCTGAAAAGTATTTTTTTGCTTGTTCTATGAATCAATTCGTACGGTGAATAAATTAACGCAATATGACTGATTACTCATTGAAAACAAAAATTGCAAAGTATTTTTTATTTTGGGTAGAGATAAGTTACTGTGAGAGAAAAAGCAGGCCGGTGTGGTCTACTGGACTTAATGTTTTTTTGAAACTATCCATATATTGTGACTCAGAGGGGAGCTGGTTTGACAGAAGCCAAAATTTGACAGAACAATGATATAGTAGGGATAAATCATACCCACAGGGCTTCATCCAATACAACCGTGCAGTAACAAAATGTTTTCAATCACACTATAATATTGTTAGAAGGAAAAGTAAGTCATTTAAATGAAACATGCAATTCAAGGATTTTTGAATTTTGCTTATGCGTTTTACAGTATTTAGAACAGATAAAAAGGTAGCTGTTTCTGAAAAGAATGGAGGTCAATGTGTCATTGAAATGACACACTTTTCTCTCTTACAATGTTAATTTCTGAATCAAAAACATCTGTGTGGATACAAAAGAAACTTTCTATATAACAGATAACTATGACCTGCTTTACATTTCGTTTAAAATTAAGCGCATACACACTCGACAGTACGGTGATAAAGTTCTTTTGCACTTTGAAATCATTCCTTGTTTCTCGTGCAACAAAATGCTATTTATATATGCTACATTTATAATTGCGGTATCGCTTGTATATGGACAAAAACCTTGTTGTGTACAAACGCAATGGGAAGGTCAATTAAGTATGTCAACCGGGATACAAGTATCAGGAATGGCTATAGCTTCATTTGTAAGTTGTATTTGTCATATCAAATTATTTGCTAAGCGTATTTTTCTATAGGCTTATTACAATTTTTCATATAATTATGATAGTAAATTGATCGCACTTCGTGGTGTTACCATCAATACTGATAATGTTAAAACAAATGTGCGATTAATACAAAATTATAATGAAAATATTGATTATTATATTAATTTGGACAATAATACTTGTTTAAAACAAATGACATCGATAAAATTAATGCAATGCATTCCAGGTACGACTGTACTATGTTTTGAAGAGAAAGAAATGTTAACACATTTAAGGCGACAGAGAATGCCTTATGTGTTTCAATACATTCATCTATCGCACTAAATATTTCTTATGGCCAAATGACCGAGGCTTCATGATTGAGACCACTTTGTTTTGATGATTATTAATTAGATTTAAAAAGTGGTCTCAGTTTTGAAATGAAAATTTTATAGTAGAAAAAGCGGTCTCAATTTGGAATGCATATATTTTCTCGTTTTTTATACAAATAAAATGTGGTCTCAATTTGGAATAGAGCGTTTGTTCTTTTCACATACTTTGTACACTGTTTATAATTTCAAATCACTTTTTAATTAGGAATGATTGGCTACTATACAGACAGAAACTGATTGAAATATTTTTCAAAACTGATGCTTAAAACTAAATTGAGCTCAGAGCGACATTACTGGATTGAGTGAGACTATAAAAATGAAGAGCATTACCTCGAAACACAATTTTTCAAATAAAAATGGAACTGAAAAATGAGTCTGTACTCGTAATTGTTGTTCGTGTTCAATACCAATAAAAGATGATGTCATAATTGATAGTAGTGATATTGATGATAATGC